GTCCCTTGTCAGGACCTATCACGGAAAGTTCTAAACAAGAACGGAGATACTGGCACAGCCTCAGGGGAAGGAGCAGCAGATGGGCAACAAGAGTAACCCAAAGGGTTGGTAAAGCTTTTAAGTGATGAGCAACCAGGCATGATAAAGCACTTCAGACTGAAAGAGAAGACTTGGGAAGAATAGGATAGCCTAGAAAATCATGAATGGCACAGGAAAGATGAATAAGGTCTGACTGCTCACCTCTTCCAGTACAGAACTAGATGCGACTGAGCGGTGCTCCAGGAACCATGCTAAAAACAGGCACACGTGCACTGCAAACCTGCAAAGCTCCCATCAAAGCAGATCACAGACACAGAAAGGTTCTGGGCAATCCAGGGGTTCTGTTTTAATATTTCCTTTAATACCACCAACTAGCACAAGAACCTTCAGCAACTCAACCACCTTTTGTTTCTACTACTCTCATTTTGCAATTCTTAGCATATATCACCACTTCATTATTCAGCCTCTGTTCCAGATCATTTGCAACTGTTGAGCAACACAAGCCTGAGAACGGATCTCAATGGGGTTGTGCCTGTGATTACTCTTCACTAGAAAATCTGACATTTCTTCCTACACTTTAACTGGGTATTGGTTAATGAAAAACTTACCCTCCCTGCATGGCAGCATATTTCCTTTAAGAAGAGTTAATAAAAGCTTCGTGAGACTCTCCAAAAACCCAGAAACAGCAGACTACTTGCTTCTCTTTCATGCTTTTTTGCTGAATAGCTTCCAAGCCCTAATTTCTCCAGCTGAAGTGAGACTTCTGCATTCTTGCCGTGAACCACAAAGGTCACGGCAATGGAAGGACTAATGGAGGCACACCTCCAAGCAGACATGACCTTGAGAATCACCATCTGTGACAGGATGATAAACACTGCTTTACAGTCAATAGAATTTGGAGAAGTCAATTTTTACACCTGGAAATCTATTTCAGTAGCTTTACGCTTAAAAAAAAACACAAAAAAACAACACCAAACGCCTCCTGAAATACAACGTGCCCCTGTTTACAGCAGCATAAAACAAACCCGACACTCAAAAAGATTAGGGCTGGTATCAGTAACAACAGCCTACACTGCTCTTTTAAAACAAACTTGGCACTGGTCCTCACACTATTGTTCTGACATACTGATTTGCAGTTAGTGAGCGCAGCGTTACTCAGTGCGATCCCTCAGGTTAAGTCGCAGTGTTATCTAACGCTCGGGAGCTGCTGCACTCCTCACAAACATCAGCACGCAGGGTCCCAGAACACAGCTACACCAAAATGATTGCTAAGAACCAACGCAGGGGCCCCGAGGAGCTTTCTGCTGCTGGAAGAGCAGGACGGCTGCAATTATCAAGGAAAGTTTCACCCTTCTCAGTTTTTCAGAAATATCTTTCTACACCTTTCCTTCTGCAGAGATTTGGAACCAAAACTGACCAGACAGGAATGTGTCCCACAGGACTGGCTTCCAGTTATACAGATGAGGCAGCAGGAGGCTGAAAGCTCACGCAATTTTTTTTTTTGCCTAACAACCCAATAAGTTTAAATAATTTGCCAACTAATTATTGTTCCTCTGTCTGTTTAGAGCTATTAGTTAATCTTAGGTTATTTAGCATGCCCCGATATATTAACAGACATGCCAGAACTTAGCAAGCCACAGGTAAAAAAAAAAAACCAACACCTGTAGGAAGAATAAGCCCCACTTGAATTTGTTATGCTGACAGAAAATAAGGTGACCAAGCAGAAGACACTGGAAGTGGAGAAGATTCAAAAGCACATAATTAGCAAGGCTCGGGGCAGAGGTCAGAAAGCCAGCTTGATTAAGTAATGTCTCTGTTGGCTGTTCATATCCTTACAAGGAAAAAATAACTTCATATTAGCAGGATGTATTTCTTTTCCCTGGAAACAGTTAATTTAGCACCAACAATATCCGATGAATTTTCACAAATTAAAGTGATTTTATTGAAGCATTAAGAAAACAAAGGAAGAGTAGTGTTCAAGATGGCATTCCCTCAGTCCATGCTAATGAGGTCAGCATTTACAGGTTTCACAAAACCATCTTGGAAACTGACAAGTTTCTCCCATAGCAGGCAAGCCATCTGCCAATTATTACCTGCCAGCTAATATAGATTTTTAATTCTATAAATTAACAATATTTTCCTTCATTACTCATCTATTTGGGGCTTATTTACTTTTCACTGCTGCCTTCCCTGACTTCACGTCTCATCTGCACCATACCACACTACTCACTTATTTCCTCAGGTATTCAAGAGTTTTGGTAAAAGTTCTTCACCTATGATGAGAATCCATTTCTCCAGGGTAATCCCAGCCCGGTGCCAACTGCAGCACTGCACGCCTTCAACAGGTCAGCAGTGAGAAGAGAGAAAACACCAAGCTGGGAGAAACACTCCTGTTCTGTGCCGTGCGCCCATCCTCTCCTCTGAGGCATAATCACAGGAGCAAAGAGTAAGCAGCCATTTCCACCAGTCATACCTTCCACAAGCCCATTCCTGCCAGCCTCCACTCATGCTCCCAAGACAGCAGCTGTTGAAATGTAACAAATTAGGCCAAAAGGTACAGCATGTCCCAGCATTCAAGAAGTCTGGCACTGCTACAGCTTTTACTGCTTATGACTCGGATAAGCCACACCAGAGGCACAGATCAGCATGATCAAAGCAAGAAGAAAATGAAGGAAGCTTAACTTTTCTATCCCCTTCCCTCCACGAAGGAAAACAAGGAGTGTTGTAGCCTGACATCTCTGCAGGACAGAGGCAGTCATTTCCCTTGTATCTTTATTAACCCAGGACTCTTTACGAAAGAATCAAGTTCTACCCATTTATCTCTGTGTATTTAAAAAGAAGCAGATTAAAATGACACAAAGAAAGATAAGCACTAAGAAGCATAAAGATCCTCATTCTAATTTCAGTGAATAGCAATCAGTGCTCACATTCATGAATATGAATATCTATTAAAACAAACAATCATTTTTAATCAGCTTTCTTACGTCTGTGACCTCATATATTGCTTAGTATCTCCTACTTATACAGCGTTCTACAAGCAGGATGATTAATTTCTCTATCAGTATAGTATTTATAGGCTTCTTAAAAGTTAACTTATTTCCCCTACTTCTCATGAATTCATGACTATTATCTCCCTTTTACCTGGCAAGAATCATGGCAAAGGAAAGAGTGCACAAGTTTGTAGTGCCCAGCTAGAGGCACTGATTTTTCAAGGCACGGGATGCCACAGAACATTTCATCCTCCAAAACACAACAAACTGCTCCATTGCACCTGCCCACATCAGTGTATCCACAAATCACATCCAGAGACCTAAGCATGAGGAAGAATACAATAGTGTACTTGGTAGAGGAAGCTTGTCCTGTAAAACATATGAATCCAGTTCTGCGAGACAGCACTTCAGTGCCTTACTTAGGAATAAGAAAGTCTCCTTCATACCATAGTTTTATTTCACTGTCCAGTTTCTGCCAGAATTGGAAAGCAAGTTCCAACCCCTAATTTAGTCTTCAAAAAGGTGCAGTTCTGTGTAACAGCTGAAAACCTAGTTATACAGGGAAAAAATAGCATGCAGTCATTTAGGATGGTACTGGAAAGCACTTATACAAGGGCAATGAATTATAGGTGTAGGGAATCTCTCTATCTTTACCAAGATATTCCAAGTTCAGAGTGACTGAAGTCACATCCATGTAATTCTAGGGAGCGGGTGAGGAGGTTTGCAGGAAGGACAGAAAAAGGTCCTGAGAGGAAAAACACGGAAAAAAATAACCTGCACTGTGCAGCATCTTATCTACCCTCCGTGGCTACCAATAGTGAACATTAAGACCACAGGACCCCATTGCAGCAATCTGAATCACCCACATCACCATGCTCACCAGCTGCACTGCAGGCTGCAGGCGAAGAGGATGGAATATGCATTGCCAGGGCAGCTCTCAGTACTCACACATGCCTGTTGACTTTAACTTGAGGCACTTTGACCACAGCTACCTTTAACGCTGTACCTCTGTGCAAAGTATGAGAGCAAGATAACACATGACAGTAGTTGCAGAGGTCTAGGTAATGGAAACTGGCCACGTGCCACTGGTAAACTTCAACTCTTCTCTGCTGCTTTGTATGCAGTCAATTGTTGCTTCAACTTCTCAGAATCCGACAGGCATTAAATAAATAATTTTACAAAATCAAGAATAGCCTAACAGCACTGTCAATCTCCTCCCAGTTTTCACAAGAATAACCTCCCTCTACCATAACTGGTGAGGGCAGACCTACCACACTCAAAAGATTCACAAAAATTAATCACGAGGAGAGGGCTATTTTAAGTAGATGCCTGTAAAGTTTATTTCTTGAAGCGGACATCAGTTTGCTTATACACGGCAAAGCCACGAGCACATCACCAATAAAACCCCCGCACTCAAAGGCAGCACTGCACAGCAAACAGTGGGGGGACCCCCGGCTGCTCTGCCACCACCTCCCCTCAGCACCGGCTGCCTTTCCAGGGAGAACAGGCGCAGACAGCACATCTCCCCGTGCTTCCTTCTTTAGTGTGAAGAACAGAGGTAATAAAATCAGCCCCGGACTTCACAATATTTACATAACGTGGGACCAGCACAGTGTGTGATGACCTTCAGAGACTCGCTCCAGTAAGAACACGTCCTTCAGTAAATTATTCCATTATTCAATCACAACTTTACAAGTTTATGCCCAGCTTAATCTCGGGTTTGTCTGCCAGGGAACCAGCGAGTCTCGCAGCCAAAGCCTCTCCCTTTCTTGCTCAGAAATGACTTTCTCTGCTTCATAGAAAACACTCAAGAAAAAAAAATAATAGAAAAAGCCCTTTTTTCACAACCACCGAGTGCGGGGCTCAGCGGGGTTCTGCCTCGCTCAGCTCCCCCCAGGCGTCGCGCACTGGCTTTCCGCGCTCACACGAGGTGAGAAGCGTTTCCTCCCCGCCCCGCTCAGGACGCGCTACCTGCGCACTCCGCCGAGCCCCGCTCCTCCCGGCCCGGCCCGTCAGCTCCGGGACATCCCGCCCGGCGCCGGATCGCTTCTCCGCAGACATCGCGCCCCGCGGCCCGCCCGGCACCTGCCCCCGCTGCCGGGCCCCGAGGGGAGCGACGGCCACCCCCGCTGAGGGCGGCAGGCCCGGCCCGGCCCTGCCCCGCTCCGCTCTCCCCGCACCTACCCGCCGGGGCGGCGCCCCGTCCCATGCCGGC